GGGGCCAAGCCGAGAGAACTGGTAGCTGCAGTGCTTGCTTTCAGCAGCAAGAAGCACAAACATCATTTGTCTGGGAGCACCATAATATGCAAAGCACAAAAGACTCTGAGAAGTCCCAAAGCTTGTCCTGGCACTGTCAGAGAAGTTAGAACTACAATAAAAGCCCTGGTGTTTTCTTAAATACCACATGGCCTCCCTGTCTCAAGGGACCCAACAGCCATTTCACCTCCTCAGTGCTTGGCAGCATTCATATTTCCCTTTGTTTTCTTACACAGTGCAAGAAAACATTGCTTCTTGTTTGTTTCTCACCCATGAAACGTTTTCTTCAGCAGTGAGACTTGTTCTTGGAAATGCTGGGCACAATCCATGTGTCCTACTATAGATACTGTCCTGACAGGTCGCAGGGACAGCAGTGTTCACAGTACGCCAATTGAAGAAATGACAGCTCTTTAGCCTTTCTCCTGCACCTTCATCCTCTACTTCCCAGCAGAAGAACTTCCTAGTTCTTCCTCTCAAGACTGCTGCCTTCACAGAAGATGGGACATCCTCCGGAGCCATCCATCCCTGTCCTGTACAGCAAGATCCTCTGGTCTGGGCATTCCACAGCCCTGAACCTGTAAAATCCAAGCACTCAGTGCTCAAGACAAGCAAGTGCTCAGGCCCCTCTGGCTCCATGTCTCACTCATCTCTCAAGCCTACCCCAAAGACTAAACCAGGTCCAAATGGGATATCACCACGTGTATCCTCACAACTTTGTGCAACGACTTCCTCACAGTAGAGTGTGACACTGATTCTAAAACTTTGGGGTGCACCTAAAGAATGGCCCCTCATGGTATACACCGTTACTTCAGGTATAAAACAGTTCACTGATACAAAATCCATGATCTCCAGTATTTGAGATGCAAAAATGATACTGTTGGCTGCTGGAGCTGTCACCCTTTTTTGGAGAGCCACTAACCAGCAGCACTAAAAAAATTTTTAACACCTTTTAGCTTCTAACAAACACAATATTAAAATACATTAGCAGTTAATAGCTTTTAACATAGCTACTCAATTGGCATGTTCATACCCCTGCTGTTGGACTGCCCAGGCTGTTGGTGTTTCCCTGCTGAGGCTCACAGCCAACTGCAGTTGGCTGTGATGGCCTTGCCAGACAGCACTTAAAGGGCTGGTTGCTTGATAAATGCTAATGGGTCTTCAGAAGAGAGATCCAGGGAAAATTTCTTCACTGTAAGGGTTGTCAGGCATTGGAACAGGCTGCCTAGGGAAGCAGTGAAGTCATGATCTGTAGAGGGGTTTAAAAGACCTGTAGATGTGTCTCTAGGGGACATACTTTAGTGATGGGCTCAGCACTGTTGCGTTAGTGGTTGGGGTCTGATCTTTAGGGTCTTTTAAGCCTTAATGATTCTGAGATTCAATGATCTGACAGTTAAAGAGAATTAAATATCCTTATTTGACATACTGCTATTTTGCAATATCTGTGCCCATGACTATCTTCACATCTTGTTCAATGAATTGTCAAGCCAAGGCAATTGTGGTGATGATTTTCTCAGGACACAGAGTGCATAAATCCCACTTCACTACTACCTCAGAGCCTTATCCAGGTCTGAACAAACCTTGTTCTTTCCACTTCTTACAGCCACAGATGTACAAATGTGGAGGGACTTTGTAAGGCTATCTAAGCCAAGTGCCAAGGAAACTCATGTCTGGAGATGGATCTGCAGTTATTGCATTCATCTATTTTTAATTGTATTTGAGTCACCAGCAAGCCTCCAGGTGCTCTGGATACAAAAGTCCTAACATTTTCTAGTGCCCTTTACCTGCTTTGTGGTGGTTATTCACCTCTGACACTGAGCGTTGAATGAAGATACACAGTATATACACAGAAGCAGAGAATCTACATAGTAGAAATTACTGCAGTTTCAACAGATATTTCTTCCAGTAAGCTGGTCTTTATGTTTGCAATTACTTACAGAAATGTAAGTAAGTGCCTCCTCTGAATTATGAGTTTAAAAACCATAAATGAATACATAGAATCCATTATTGATTCTTCAAATGCTGATTTTTTAGACTTTATGATTTCTCTGAAGCCCTAGGCATTAACATTTGATTGTTGGTTTATAGAAAACAGAGAGAGTCTTTCAAAATATAAGAAATACAAAAGAGAGAGAGCATGAGAAGCAGAAAATATCAGAAAAAAGAGACAACTAATAAGGCAAGATTCAGAGCGAGACTATAGTATTTACCTATCCTGTCAGGATACAGGTATTTGTGGTTTCCGTCTTGTCACATAATCTTCCCAGGAGAGGACTACAGAAGGTAAGAAAACAGCAATGACAAGTGATGAGTCTTGTTCCCACCCTGAAGTTTTTATCTTCTGTTGAAGCAAGTACCCTTAGCACTCTTAGCAATCATCAGTGAAGTGCTTTTGGCAGCATTTAGCACTGTCAATACACAAACCTGCAAGCAAACGTTTTCCTCCTGTGGGTAAACAGCAATATAAAGAAACAGAAGCCCTTGAAAGATATGGAGGGTTAAAACAACTGTTAACATTTATCCTTTGTAAAAGGAGTTGATCAAATACAAAGTTGCAGACACATAATGATGCTTAAGAAAAAGCAGAGATTACCAGAAGCAGATAGAGCACTGGAGCAATCAATAACTGAACAACTCCCTTGTACAGGCTTCCCAAAACTTCCCAACAGGCATAAGGTGTTGCTAGAGAAAAGATATTAAGCCAGACGGACTTCTGATATAATCAACATTTCGGTGCTGTCATCATTTGGGGTGAAATTTGACAGTGTGCCCAGCATAAAGCAAAGTGTGGGCAGTCCTCAGTAAAGGGTTTAGGATAGAAAATTGCATGGAGGTGCAGTTCACTGTTTTTGTACTAGCCTTTCTCATTCAGGCTTAAAAGTTTAGCCAAATTCAGACATTGGTGACAGTCTCAGTGAGACATGCATTCTGGTGAAGACTTTATCTGCAGATCAGATGTTGGTCTGCAGTTGGCATCACTAGGTGGGCCACAAACTTAACAACATGCACCTAAGTTGACTTGGGAAATGACAGTGTGGTTCAGTGTTGGGTCTTAATGGGGTTTTCAGTCTCTTCATTAAAACTGCCAAGAAATAAAACCTCAAAAAATTAGTCCTGACTGTGGTGATGATCTTCTTGGGCCAAAGAGCACATGAACCTCACTCCAAGTTCCTTCTTTAAACAGGTTGTCTTCAGTGTCTCAGGACTAGGGCAGGCAGCATTCTGCTGGAAGTCTCCATGATGTATTGGCACGGCTCAACTCCTGTTATTTATGTCTTCTGGAACCTGAATGCTGCTCCCACACTCCCAGGCAAGAACATTTCCCTCTGTGCCCACAGTCCTTCTGGCACAGCACTATGGCCAGCACCAGATGGGGGCACATCCTGCATTGCTTGTCCCACAGCCATCTACACCAGACCACATTAAAAAAAAAAAAAAAAACCAAAACAACCCCAAGAAAAAAACCACAAAAACAAAAGAAAACAAAAACAAACAAACAAACAAAAAACACCAAAAGAAAAAAAAATACAGGAGGACTCCTCATACCCACAGACTTGGACTCAGTGGCAGGTCTCATTCCTGTGTTGCAACACAGGAACCAGATCAGCAGACCACAACCTGGTAAACACCTGCCCACTTTAATTTTCAATTTCAAGTAAGAATTACCAGAAATACAGAATGCTTATAGCTTCCATGGCACCAGAAACACCATCCAAAATACCTTTTTCTCTTCATTTTCAGACTAAACTGAGTGAGAGTGAGTTTACATCCTACCTCTGTGATTCTTAAAAAAACTATAGACAGTCTTTTATCCCTGAGGTCATTGAAGAGAAGACTAGGAAAGGTCTTCTTATGGCTTTGTGCTTCCCTGCACTCTGTTCTGCTTAGATGATAATGCAGAGGCCAGATGGACTGGCAGAACGCTTCTTTTCTTGGTCTTTGCCAAGCAGATCGTGGCTGTGCTGAGATCATCTTTGCAAGCTGCTGTGATGTCCGTGAGCTTCCTGGGAAGCAAATACAGCATGACTGCGTCAGCCTTAGCTCTGTCTGGCTTCCTGTGCTCTGAAAGCTTGGCCTGTTAAGAGGCTGGTGGGTAGCTGAAGGCTTTTTAATTAGTGTGGCTTGGCAGCACTTGGCCAGCTCAAGGAAGTGCTTGGCATAGTGGAAGATGCTGCCTGACTCCTCCATGGCAGCTTGAGACTTCCCCCAGGAGCTACTAAATGCTCCAAAGGCAAACAGAAACTTTGGAAAGAGGAGTCTGTGAGACCTAAACTGGGCTCCATAGGGCTGCAGAGTGTGGAGTCAGTTCAGAGAAGGGCAGGGTGCAGAACTACAAAAAGACTCTGTATATCCATGGTTGCAGCCTGGGCCAGGCAGAGGGGAATTCTCCCTCCTTCTCATTGCCAGGGGAGACATTTTGGTGACCTTTCAGTCCTCAGTTTGTCTGTGAGGAATGGCAGCTGACACTGTGATATGGTACCTAGAGATTTCTAGAAATGAACTGGGGTGCTACCCTTCTGAAGAAGGCTACATTTCATCCCTAAGGACAAAGTAAAACATTCTGCCAAAACAAATCTAGGCTGTGTGTCCTTTGCTGGGTACCCAGAGCCCAGAAGGTGGATTGTACCCAGCCCAGAGGCTTCTCATAATGGTTCCTGAAACATTATCTGTTCTAGAGACAAACAATCGCAATAAACACCTACATTTGGGTGTTCAGGGTGTTTCATGGGGATTGTTTTCAGCATTTGAAGAACCCTGAGAGTACACAGACAGGCTATTTAGCCACCTGGTAAGTCTTTCTAGGTTTTTGCAGCAGCGGGGGAAGCTGCCTGCAGGAAAACACCCAGAGAGGCAGGTTTACGAACGCTGAAGATTTCTGAGAAACTGTTGGCACACTAGGGCTGAGATACCAGATGTGATGGGAGGTAAATGGCTCTGCTAATCCTCTCCTGTCCTCCCCTCAGCTTCACCACCCGTCCCAAGGGTTCCGGTTTGGCACAGTGCGGGAGAGCAGTGCGGAGGACTACGTGAGGCAGAGCTTCCCAGAGATGCACGAGTACATGCGGCGCTACAACGTCCCTGCAACCACTGACGGGGTGGCCTACCTGAAGTGAGCCAACCTGCCCCCTGGCTAGTTGTTATGATCTGGTTATTACAATTACTAAGAGAGATGCTTGGACTGAGGTGAAAACGAGGCCAAAGTCAGTAGTATTGATTTTATTTAACAGTAAATGCGAGAGAGGGAGAGACAGAGGTGGTGGTGGTGATGATGGTGATGGGGAGAAAGATAGTGACAGAGAGACAGATGTAGAAAATATCACCACTCCATGGATGCCATGTCCCATTGATCCTCTCCAGTGCTGAGGGTCCCAAAAAACATGTGAGTCCAATGGATTAATAAGCATTTAGGCCAGGTGGGAATGCCTACCTGGGTGTGGGGGTGTCATCAGGTGAGGGCAATGTATAAGCTCCTGGCAAGTTCCTGAGCTTGGGAGCCTTCCATCAGGCAGTGAGAAACATTCAGGAAAAAAACATCCAGTCCAAGCAAAACCTGCCAATGAGGTTCCTCAGTGTGGTGGGAGGAAAGAAGGTTCTCCCAGATGAACCTTAATTTATCATTAAAATGAATAAAAGAAGCACTAGACTGGTAAAAAGTAATGAAAGTCTTGTTGCTTTAGGGGATCATGGTGTCAGTGTGCCTGAGACATTTGTGCTTAACAGTCTGGGGGAAAAACAACTCTTCCAGGAAACAGGGGAGGTGGTAATAAGCCTGAAATCATTCATTCATTTTATCTTAAAAGGTGCCTGGCAGATGGCCTGAGAACTTTTCACCAGAAATTTTTTTCCTGTAGTTTCCTGTTTATATATTTTTCCCCAGACTCATCCTGTTGATACTTAAGACACATGGCAGTTCTTTGCGTCAAACTGCAGTCAATGGATTGAAATCAATTAAGTAATTGCATCAGGAGAACACCCAGACTTTTAAGGGGGCAGGAATGGAGGGTGCAGTCCTGGCATCAGATGAGAACAAGCGCTGCTGCTGTTCTTTTGTATCATTATTTTTATCCAAACATGCTGTTCAGAAATTATTCTTTCAGTACAATTCAGTCATTGTGTTAATGAAGACAACACAAGGAAAAGATAGATTTCCTTCCTTGGGTGAAGGAAATAATTTACCTTGTATTCAGGGAGAAAGGAGGAGAAATACCTTTGAATAAGTTATCCTTCTGGTTTGTTGCTCTAATATCCCCCAAGTTTAACATCACAAAGAAACCAGGACAGCAACAGTATTTTAGCAATTTTTGATCTTCTCCACTAAAGCCTTGTGCCACTTTCAATTGAGTCAAAGTCCAACATTTTGTAGTGATTTTTGTCTTTCAGAACAATAGTATTTTGTGGCAGCAAAGTAAGTCCTAAACCACTGACTGCTTGTAATGCACAAAGTTTGCATCTCATGCACAATTCTATCCTTCAAAATGTAAATCAGTTTTCAAGTGCAGATGTGCAAATAGCAGTCCCTTGTCCCTATTTTCATACAGTAATTAATCCAAAAAATCTGCATAGACAAATGTTTGGTGTCACTTAGACTGTGAAGTGATAGTGTTTCTGACTTTGATGTTGAATACAGGCATGATCCAGAGAAACTTGATGCCTTCATTATGGATAAAGCACTCTTAGATTATGAAGTGTCAATAGATGCTGACTGCAAGCTCCTAACTGTGGGAAAACCCTTCGCCATTGAAGGTAATAACCAGTTTTATGACACACTGCTCTGTTCCTCATGTGCTGAATTTGTTTTGTTGTGCTGTGGTATTGTCAGTGAAAATATGGAGGTGAAACTGAGGACCCCTTGAGGATTATGACAAAGTCCTCAGTGATTGAGCAGAACAAAAGCTTCAACCTTTTCTTGTGGGTTTTTGTTTTTTGTTTTTTGTTGTTTTTTTTTTTATGTCTCATATCACTTTTATCACCTGTTTCCAGGCTAGGTTGGGTGGAGCTTTGAGCAACTTGGTCTGGTAGAAGATCTCTCATGGTAGGCATTGGAATGAAATGCTCTTTAATGTCCCTTCAAACCCAAACTATGCTGTGATTCTATGATCTGTTGCAATGCTCTATGCAGAAATCATTCCAGGTGCTCAGACAGTGTGTCTCCAGACAAGTAGGAAGCAGAGACCATTTCCCTGCTCACCATGAAATAGAGACTCCTGAAATGAGGCTTCTTTTCTGCCAGCTCTCTTTGTTGACATGGGTTCAAAACCCAGTTAAAACATGTTCAAAATGTGGTTCTGCAGTTTCACTCTCATCTGAAACAGGCAAATATTGTTCCCATTTTAAGATTCCAAATGAATCTATAGTTAATTGAGAAGGGAGCCTGTCCTGGTGCTTGGCCTCCTGCAGACTTGAGAAATTAGCAAGGACAGCTCAGAAGGCAGCCTGAAAGCAAGGCTGGTGTGAAGCTGCTTCCAGCATGGATGAGCACATGGGCAGCAGATTTTAGAAACCACTTTTGTGATAGAGGGACAGTGAAAAGGACTGGTGCTTTCACTTTCCTTCCCTCCAAGGGCAATCGCTTCAGCTGCTCCCATCACACAATAAAACAACCTCCTTCAGAAACCTGATAAATCCCTTTCAGAAAGGTCAGCTCTCCTCAAATAAAACCAGAAGCTTCCACAACTTCAAATCAAGTAGATTAGATTTCAATATAGGAAAAGAAACAAATAGACACTAAAATATATGTTTTTGGATTACTGGACTTCCTTCATATCACCCACTTACAAAGAAAGTATGGTGAAAATGTGATATTTATGAATCCTAGCTGTACTAACTCTGAAACAAATGCTTTGATGCGACTAAAGTTATTCAGGTGGCATTACAGGCACAATGTAAAAAACTCAACAGCAAGGAAGAAGCATTGTAAGAACAGTTACCACCTCATCACTCATTAAAAAGTGAGTCATTGTCCTGGAAAATTCAGCACTTGACTGTTTGTGAGGGTTTTTTTCTTTCTTCCTGTGTTGTTGTGGGGTTTTTTTTTTAAGGAGACAGTCTGAAATTCTGAATTCTGAACTGAAAAACAAAAATCCACATTGGAATAGAAATTGATCTCTGCAGGCAATTGGCATTCAACTGCATGTCTTCGTGGGATCAGTTGTATTTTTGTAGAATTTCTAAAGTAAAACACCAGATTCTGCAAATAGAAGTACCACATTCAGAGTTTCTGAATTCATTTTCACTTACACTAAGTTCTTTACCCACACTTTAACACGGTGGAAGACAACACAGCTAAAAATGCACAATTGGTTAAAAACTTCATTTGTTTATTTATTATCTGAAAGTCCCTGTCAGTGCCAGAGCAGAACTGAAAGCATAGCCCCTGGGCTTTAAATTGCCGAGTGATAACAGTGCAGATTGCTTCTGTATATATTTACATGCATACAGCTCCTCATCAGAAAATGCATAAGAAGAAAATGTCACATCTGACACCACAGTCACATCCATTGCTCTAACAATGCAAGAGGATCACAGAATGATTTATATGACACTGAGGCCCTTTTGCATTGCTGAAAGAGTCCCTGACAAGGGCATGAAAAGGTCTGTGTTTCTAGAGAAAATATTTATTAATCCATTGCCTCCATTTTAACTTTTTGAACCTCCAGGTTTTCATATTTCTTGTGTAGCTTTAATAATTTTGAATATGCTTAATCTGTTTATATTGGGTGGCTTTATTTTGCACCAAAAAAGGTCTTGTCTCAGCATTCTCAGACCACAGTAAGCCAGTTTTGAGCTGACTGTCTGAAACAGAGTGTTTTAGCTTGCTCTTCCTTGCTGAAATGAACATACTTCAGTAAAAATCAAACAAGAAAGAAAGAGATGATTGTACTGCTCTCCCTTCTAGGATATGGCATTGGCCTTCCCCCCAACTCTCTGCTCACCTCAAACATCTCTGACCTGATCAGCCAGTACAAATCCCATGGCTTCATGGATGTTCTGCACGACAAGTGGTACAAGGTTGTTCCCTGCGGAAAACGAAGCTTTGCCGTCACGGAGGTGAGCAATGAACTTGGGTCACTTAAGTGAGGCTTTGTGCAAGCTGACAGTTATTTCCCCACCATTCCATTGACATGCCCACAAGGCAGGGAATGAGCGGCAGCTGAAGGGAAGGAGGAGGCTTCAAAGGAATCAGCTTCTGACCCAGGCAGCGGTCAGGTCAGAGCAGGAGGAGCGGGACTGTGCTGCTGAGTGAGGCACCAGGGAGCTCCTCTGGAGACAAGCAGGGCGTAAAGGGGCAGTGAAAATCCTGATCTGGCACATTTCATAGCAAACCTGTCTGAGTCTGATTCCACTCAGCTGTGCGTGTATCACCATTCACAGAGAGAGGGGGAGCTCAGGACATCCTGAATTTTTAATACACCCTGACCACTTCCCAACATGGGTGGCAGATACCTGTACCAAAGATAGGATTTCAGGCAAGAAATGGTCTGCTAAGACGCCATGCCAAGAAGAGAGAGGAAGTAGGTCTCACTTTCATGTAGATCTATGAGAAATTGAAATAAATATTCATGATATACATCCAAGTTCCATATTGGAGGAGTTACGCCATTATTTATGAGAAAAAGATAACTCTTACCAGAATAGCAGTTTTTCCTCAAGTTCCCCAGACTCTCAAGTGAAAAAATAAGATGAAGTATTGAAGAATCAAAAGCACCAGCAATGTCTGAAGCTTATAGCATACTCTTTTAGCTCAAGGTCTTTCAGAAGGGATAGGTTATGTATTCTCATGGATACAAAACAGTTGGAATCCTGCTGCTTCTTTCTCAGTGTTCAGCCAAATGCCAGACACACACTTGGTGTTCCCCAAGGAAGTGGAAGCATTCTCCTATCAAAGAGAACTCAGTTTCCTGGGCTGTGACTCCCACTTTCAATGGTGAGCTGCAAGACTCTGACTGCTGACTAAATCACTAGAAAGTTAGCAATTTTTAGAGATAAGACAAAGCAAATCTTTATTTGGCATCTTTAATATAAAATTTTTTGGGGTATTTCTGCATGTCTTACTACATTTTATACTTTTTGTTACAGTTTTGTCAATAGGAAATAAATTATATTTTAACATCAGACATTCATAGAAGAAAATTTAATATTTTTTATCCAACTTACTAATTTTTTATTTCTTTTTTTATGTGATTAATTCAACACAAGACAGCAAACTTCAACAGAAGTGTGTATTCACTAATCTTTCTGATTTACCTTATCTGAAGATTGTATTATCACCTGAAAAGGGAATTGTCTTTTTAAAATGCCAGTTCCTTCAATGACTTCTTGTTACTCTACATTTTAACAAGTCATTTGAATTAAATCTCAGGAAATTACACGGTAATGTTATAAATTACCTCAATGTTGCCTATAACTCAATACTTTTATAGCAGAGAAAAGTTACCGTCCTAATAATTCCCTAGTTATGTGACAAAAGGAGCTTCCTCTGATCATGTCTTACCCCACAGCATTCATCTGGAGCTGTATACTCTCTATTCTTAATCATATAATAAATTCCAGTTAAAAGTACAATTTTAATTAGTACTGGTTTTCTCCCAGAACATATGGTTGCTTCTTTAAGTCTGTAGAGTGAGGTGCTCAGATCCCCTGGAAGGGGCATGAGATGATCCACTTGGCTGCAGAAGTATTAGAACCTGAGTAACACCTACCCATAAAAATTGTAAATAGATATACATATATGGGGGTCCTTGCTCAAAATGTTACCAATGAAGGTGCATGATCAACACAAGATTCCTCAAGGCCTACCAACAAAGGGAGAGGAGGAGGGACAAAAATCTGCTCCAGTCTGAAAAGAAAATTCAGATTTTGCACTGTGAATAGTCCCATGGAATTCCTTTGGGTTTTTTTTCCACTACTGAATAGGTTTTAACCACAGGATTTTAAGGGAGGCCTTAAGCATGGGGTCACAGCGGGAGGAAATGTTGTGCTTTTATGTAATTAAGTCTTTTGAGTATAACCTCCCTGTGAAGTCCAAAAAGAAGAGCAGGTGTAGCTGCTCCCAGGCTGGCTGTCTGACCATAGTCCTTATTTGAACTTCAGCTGCACTAATTCAACATGCACAACTGAGTTTTTTGTTCAGAAGCTAAAGTATAACAAGTTGGTTCAGGTGTCTAAACTGAAGGACTCAGTCCATGGAGTCCAGCAAGGCCAAGTGCAAGGTCCTGCACCTGTGTGTGGGCAATGCCAAGTGCAGATACAGGCAGGGCACAAATACAGAACGGATTGAGAGCAGCTCTGGGGAGAAGGACTTGGGCCTTTGGTGGATTAGAAGATAAAGATGACCTGGTAATGTCCTCTGGCAGCCCAGAATCCAAAGATGCCCTGGGCTGCATCACTAAAACTGTGGGCGGGAGGTCAAGGGAGGTGATTGTGCACCTCTGCTTACTCTGGTGAGACCCCACCTGGATGGGGTCTGCATCCAGCTCCAGGATCCTCAGCATAAGAAGGATATGGCACTATTGGAGGAAATCCAGAGAATTCCACAAAGGTGATCAGAGGGCCTCTCTGCTCTGGAGCCAGGCTGGGAGAGCTGTGGGTGTTCACCTGGAGAAGAGAAGGCTCTAGGGAGACCTTAGAGCCCCTTCCAGAGCCTAACTAGGATCCAAGAGAGCTGAAGAGGGACTTGGACAAAGGATGGAGTAACAAGATAAGGGGAATGGCTTTATACTGGAAGAGGTAGGTTGACATGAAATAAAAGGAAGAATTTAAACATTAAGGTGGTGAGGCCCTGACAGAAGTTGCCTAGAGAATCTGTGGCTCCCCCACCCCTGGAAGTGTCCAAGGCCAAGTGGGACAGGGCTTGGAGGAACCTGGTCTGGTGGTTGGTATCCCTGCCCAGGGCAGGGGGTTGAAACTAGATGGTCTGTAAGGTCTCTACCAAACCACTCTATTCTAGGATTCTGTGAATCTTAGAAGTCAGTCAAAGGTCCTTATGCAATCAGAAAGTGAGCAGAAGCAGAATCCCACTTGCAAGTCTGTGCCATTTGTGGGGTAAGCTCTACTAAGTCCAGATCTTCATTTTTCTGAGTTGCCTCACTTTTAATGTATCTCCTACATGCATCCCCCCTCTTCTTCATCCATTCCTTTTGGCCAAGAACCTGCAGATTTTAGAATGTGTGAATTCTTAGTTGGGAGAAATTTATTAAACTTAATAGCCAAGCAGCAAACACTCTCCAAAATACAGGTACCCCACTGTTACAGCAGGAAGCATAGGAATTAGTCTTGGACTTACCTTTATGTTGGTTTGTATCATTTACTCCTGTACAACCCAAAAATCTGTAACTTAACTCCCTGCACTCAGTCACAGTAGTATTCTACAGATTCACTGAAGAGTGGACAATGTTCAACACAGAAACAGATGATTCATTTTTTGAAAAAGTCTCAACTTCTCGGTGGGTAGTCATTCACATAGACTGTATACCAAAGTGAGACTCAGCAATTGCCTTTTGACAGCACGAGTGAGGATTTGTATTCTTCTATGTCATTTTGATAAATTTGGTCTGTGACATGCTGCACCTGTTGACCAAGAGTAACGACACCAAAATGGGAATATATGTAGGTGAAATACTGATCAGTATAGCCTTTAAACTGGTGAGAAATCCATCATCCATTTTGGTCAATACCTCTTTAGCTGTACCTAATTCTTATCCACCTGCCACTCCTGCCTACTGAAGTTAATTTTTCCACAATTTATTTTGAGATCTATCTTCCTACTCACCATTTTTTAGTAATCTTACACTGGGAAATTATATTTCCTGTGGCAGAACTCACTGCTAGCTCTTCCCATCTCTCTCTGTCTGGCAGTGGATGAGCACTTTGCTTATTCTAAATCACATGTCAAAACAAAGTTGTCCTGGAAGGAAATTATTCAGCCTGGGGCTGAAAGGTTTGCAGTGACTCTTCAAGCTGGGAAACCAATAAAGATAGTTTCTTTTCTGAAAGTGCAGAGGTCAGAAGCACTTGACTCTGCTGCTTTGCATGAACCTCTCCAGCAAAACCACTTACCCAAGGCATCTGACCCTGATCATTTAATCACCCACTGGATCATTTATGGGGGATGCAGCTAACTCAGGCTTGGAAAGAACACTCTAGTGAGCTGCACTTTACCCTCTCCACTGCAGTGGGTGGCAGCGGCTGTTCTTGGTGAGTGCTTGCCTCTAGCAATATTGCTTGAGTATTCTGGGTTTAAAATTGTCATGTTCTAGTTTCAAAGGAATGCCTTTGAGGCAAAATTGATGAGTTCCCTACTTAGGGTGAAACATGGTGCAGGAGGGATGAGGAGTTGCCAGAGTTATATTTGCACATCATATCTGGACATAATCAATGTCATTTGTTTTTATTTTTCATACAGTACACTCAGCTCTTCCTCTGCCCTACTGTTATTCTCACTGATGTCTCTTCAGAAGGAGCCAGGCTCTTGGGACTTGCCTTTCCACCCACTAACTCCACACAAGCTCAGAAGAGACTGCAGAGAGAAGGTTTTTTACCAAGAGGGTGGAAAATCAGAAAGTGAGCAGAATGTTTCCCAGGGAGGTGGTGGATGCCCCATCCCTGAAAGTGTTCAACCATCCCTGGAAACATCCAAGGCTCCGAGCAAGCTGTTGTAATTGAATATGGCCCTGCTCATTGTGGGGCAGTTGGACCAGGTGGCCTTGAAAGATCTCTTTCAACTCAAACCAGTTTATGATTCTGTGATTTTTGGGAACCCAAAGCTTTGTGATTTTCTGCTCCTGGTGCAAAGCAGCTCTGGAACTCAGCCAGCAGGAGCAGGCAGGGCATTGCCTGAAAGGCAAAATGCCTGCAGTCAGTGGGTTTAGCTGCTCAGGCCAGGCAATGATGACCAGGGCAGGGCTTATCAAGACACTACAAAAAAGAAGAGCCCTTCCTGGTCCATGGTTTGGGAGAAGCTAATTGAGTGTACACCATCTTTCATAGTTTTTTACCTACACTTTAAAAAATGTTACTGTTGAAACTGTATCTTCTGTTTCACTTGAAAG